GCCCATGGAACACAAACCATCTGGTACTTTATATCTTCTGCAAATCTTGCATTCACTCTCGTAGTAGTCAAGCCTACTCTATTGAGCAACCAAATTCAAATTGTAAAACATATATTTCCCTAGTAACAGAGATCTTCCAATAAATGACACAAGGGATTACACAAACTATAGAACAATCTGCAGGAGATAACCCCACCTGTTTTACTTCAAAGTAACATTTATGTATACCTTCCACTGTTATGAACTTTACGTAGTCACTTAAACTTCCTGAGTCTAAACTTAGACCGCAACATGAAATTTACTCCACTCCCAACTAGGAAACATGGAAAGGTTCTTCACACACCCATAACTCGGGACTATACCTCAAATCAAGACAAAAATCGAGCCTCTAATAGTCCTTCTATCCTCCATCAGACCCTTCTCGTTGCTTCCAAATCACATGAATGCATCTCGTAGTCACATCACACTCATCACGTAACTATCCTGTCATCACCTCCTTTAATAGGGACATAACAGGACATATGGATCCAGAAACACGTGCTCACGAAATCAACAACTCAGGGCTCAAGCTACAGGCAAAAATCAGGCCTCAAGTCTTCCCAACTGGCCCAACATCAACACACTGAGATCACATATCGCCCCTTGATCGGGGAATCACAAGACATCAATGCACATCGGATATTAAGCGCTCATGAGCGCATACGAACGCGTGGAAGGAATTCAAAGAGTTACTTTTCAAGTTGAATCAAGGATGCACGATAAGAATTCAAGAATGTGAAATTTTTCTTAAAGATTTTGTAGCCTCTCAAGGATAAATACAGACATCTCTGTACCGATCCGCAAGACTATACTAAACCTGCTCATGACTCGTGAGACCTATGTAACCTAGGCACTAATACCAACTTGTCACGACTCTAAACCCGGACCAGGTTGTGATGGCGCCTCTCGTGTAGACAAGGCCAGTCAACACTTCCCATATCTAATTACTAACAGTTAAACAATAAGAAATAAATCTAAAGCATGATAAGACAATCCAAAGTTAATAGATAATAGCATAATTCGTGGAAAATAACCCAACACAGCCCGATACCGGGGTGTCACCTGTCATGAGCATCTAACAAAACAGAATACTCCAAATATATATAACTATATCGTTTAATACAGAAACTAAGAACAGAAAGGAATACGATAGGGAAGAGCTCTGGGCTGCGAACGCCAACAGCTACCTAAAGACTCCTCGGATCCGCCTGAGTCAAAATGATCAACAATCGGGAGCGGGACCAGATACACCTGAATATGTACACAGGGTGCAGGGAGTAAAGTGAGTACTCCAACTCAGTGAGTAATAATCATAAATAAAGTCTGAAAACAAGAAATTACGTACAGCACAAAGCATGGTATAATGAAGCAGTAAAACCATTAAAAATAGTAAAACCCGGTGAAAGATAGGTAAAAATCCTTAAACTCAATTTAACATCATGAAAAAACCTTTTTCAACAATTAAGCAGGTAATCGACAGGAAATTATGAAAATAAACACATAAAGGTTCGCCTCTTGGGCATAGTATCAACAATTCCGCCCCTCGGGCAACATGTCAGAACATTACCAGCCCCTCCGCCAATCACATAGAACCATACCAGCCCCTCGGGCTCAATCTCACATCACAATGGGTACCCGCGCTCATTGGGGGTGTACAGAGAGGTTGTTTCAAACAGACCCTCGGCTCAGGAATGGCAAGAAGAAGAAAAAGAAGCAAGCAAGGAAGAAAAAAGGAATAGAAGGGAAAAAGGGAGAGATAAAGGATAAGTAGTACCAAATAATAACAACATGGAATACAATACCTGAGGCGAACAAAACCACATAACTTTATAAAAATCAAAGAATATGCAGGGACATGCATGCTACTATGACTATCAGTGAACAACTAAAAACTACCCACTAACCTTCTATCATAATTCTCAACCTTCATACCCTCCTATCAAGGGTCATGTCCTCAGTGAGCTGAAGCAGTGCCATGTCTTGTCTAATCACCTCTCCCAGTACTTCTTAGGCCTACCTCGACCTCTTCACAAACTCTTCATGGCCAACCTCTCACACCTCCTGATAGGAGCATTAATGCTTCTTCTCTTAACATGTCTGAATCATCTCAGCCTCGACTCCCGCATCTTGTCCTCCATGGAGGCTACTACCACTCTATCCCGGATAGCTTCATTCTTAATCCTATCTCTCCTGGTATACCCACACATCAATCTCAACATCCTCATCTCTGCTACTTTTATCTTCTGCACGTGAGAGTTCTCGACTGGCCAACACTCTGCTCCATACAACATAGTTGGTCGAAGCACCACTCGATTAAACTTACCCTTAAGTCTTGGCGGCAGATTCTTATCACATAAAATACATAAAGTGAACATCCACTAAATATTGATATGTGGATATTCTTGGTTTTTGTATTTCGCCATTGATTTGTTTTTAATATTTTGATTTGATGATATTTTGGGGCCCTCTCTTGTTTACTTTCTCGCTCCGTTTATGTCACGACCCAAAATTCTCACCCTCGAGAGTGTGATGGTGCCAAACATTTCACTTTCTAGGCAAACCAATGTTAGAGATTCATTAAGCCAATTCTCATACATTTCAATAATTAACAGTAATTAAGCTATCACGACTTACAATGAAAGCAAAAATTTATAACAGCCTCAATATATATATATATATATATATATATATATATATATATATATTCTACTATCCGGATCTGGAGTCACAATTCACAAACTTCCAAGATTTCACTACAAGTAAATGTCTGATAGAAATACAACTGTTTTCGAAGTGAAAGAAATATTAAAATGAAATGTCTAGAATGGGACTCCGTGGTCTGCGGACGCCGGCTGATCTACCTTGGGTCTCCTATAGGATGGATCCAGCAGCTAACCTCACGATCAGCTTGGGCTAGTACCAAAATCATCATAGGAAGTGCAGAGTACAATATCAGTACAATCGATCCTATGTACTGGTAAGAGTCGAGTCTAACCTCGGTGAAGCAGTGATGAGGCTAAGATAAGACACCTATAAATAAACCTGTGCAATATAACAATATATCTACCAATAATAACAATAAAAGAAACAAGACAAGTAATATTGGGAGGGGGACATGCTGAGGGGATCACAAGATAAATGATTAAAGCAGTAATAAGCACTTTGATCAACCGATATTCTTTGAGCAATTAGGAACAAGTAACCACGTTAAAAGAAAATGTACGGAATAACCCTTCGTGCTTTTACTCTCGACCTTACCATATGAATCAATAGATACAGCACGACATCACCCTTCATGCATTAACTCTCTCATAATTTGGCACGTCATTACCCTTGGTGCATTAACACTCACAATATGGAACGACATCACCCTTCGGGGTCATTTGGTAGGAGGTATAAGAATAGTGATGAATAGAGTGTATTAGTAATGCTAGTATTAGTAATGCTGTCATTAGTTATGCTGAGATTATTTTTTATTCATTGTTTGATTTGGTGTATTAAAGCATAGCATAATATTTTAAAAATTGGGTGTTTACAAAAGTACCCTCCATAATTTTCTATAAAAATTAACTTTATACATAATAGAACAAGAAAGGTTGAGGCTCTTTTAAGTGATCCATGAACGTATATGGATCAGTAACAAAATAATAATGAAAAAATAAATAAATTAGTACTATCAAAGAATCAAGCTATAACAAGTTTACTTTTTTTTGCAAAGGGCAAACCGATAAAATTGATAGTCGATAGTCCAACCAAAATTGAAGATTTACAGGTTCCATGGTGAATCATGGCACCTGCATTTCCCAATTTTAAGCCTGGTATCATTCTAACTAACCTAAGATTAAGATATTAAATTACTTCATGTAAGGAAGAATTCATATCACATAACCAAAACAAAGTTGATAAAGTTGATAGCAACACCCTTCCTTCCAAAATGTCCACATAACAAGTTTACTTTTGATGCTCCCTATGTTTCTCAATAAAGTGAATTTAGGTAAAGTTATGAATTTATTCAAAATTAGATGTTTCACACTCTTGGGCTACATTCTGTACATAATAATCACTTGTTTGGAACGATAACATGGCCTGTCACATGGAAGTTGGTGGCCTCTTGCTCTTTGACTTCCAACCTCCTCAAGCAAACAAGAATATATAACTCTAAAATGGAGCAATTTGCATCAACAAATTGAGAATTATGTTGTTTTCAGTGATTTATTCTTGGCAGTGGCCAAGTTGTGGAGAGAAATTCATCACTTCTTCCGTCACAAACAACTAATCAAATTATAGAAAAATTACCAATGAAAAGTAAGATTGGAGAGAAACAAAAAAGAAATTAAAGACCTGTCATAACAGCTTTACATAATTACATCATAGAATCTTAAAAGTTAAACGACTATAAAGAGTTTGAAGAACTATCATAGCAGCTATATAATTACATATGCATTTAACATTTACACTGGAGTTGAGCTATTTAATAAACATTAGTTACACAAAAAATCTAGCATCCTCCTGCCCACACCAATAACTAGAGGTATCAAAAAATGGCACTATCGTCAAACTTTGAAGTTGTTAGCCAAGCAAAAAACTATCAAACTAGTGCCACCAGTTATATCCACAAGTTTACCATACTTTTAAAGTTTATCATTGACGAGCATCGACATTATTGTATGGTGCTCAAATTCACCCATACGTAAAAACAATTCCATCTTTTTGTCATCATCACAGAGAATCATTGAAGCTTTGATACGTTGCTCTATGTTGTACAACTCAAATACGGGAGATTCAAGGATAGAATATATCTTACCACGAATATTGGATCGGTCACGATCCCCAATCTTTTCAATCAAGGAACCCATTCTTTTGTCTTGACTTTCAGTAAAGTTTTTCATAATTTCCATCATACCTTTGAGAAATGTCTCATTACCATCCTCTACTATTTTTTTTCTTTTCTTGCTTTTCTCTTTTTCGTTTACATTAGAAGAGGACCTTTTATCATACGCGTCTTGTTTATGAGTTTGTTGGGATCCAGGATATTCATTTTCAAATGCCCCGGCACTAGGTCCAGTTGCATTTTCAGCTCCAGTAAATGCGCTAGGTCCAGTGACATTTTCACCTCCAGAAAATGAACTAGATTCAGTGGCATTTTCAGCTTCAGTAAAAGCACTATATCCAGTAGCATTTTCAGCTTCTCCAGTAAATACTTTAGGGCTATGATAAACGACAGCTTCTTCGTCTTCATCAATATCGATAGGAAATCCCAAACTCATATCATTACAAACTTTTGGAGCTTGACTCTTTTGAATTTCCTCAGAAGCATCTAGCGGCCCTTCTGTGAACTCTCCGGTTTATCTATCCTTGCCAAATATTTTCTCCCAATCCTCAAACATCGGCCATTTCTTAGTATTCATATTTTTGGTTAGTGGGTCAATCTAGAAAATAATTAAAAAAATATAGCAATGTCATATTAGAAAAATACATATATAACGTAACAAAATTTTAATAACTTAAAGCAAAGTATTAGTTACCTTTATAAAGTCATCCCAAAATTTTGGATCGTCTACTATTATGGCTCCATCACTATATTGAAATCCCAAACCACTTCGATTTTTTAGCGAACCTATGCTTCCATAACATCTCATCCAATATCTTATTTTATTTTTGATATGTGTATCACCTTTCAATCCGCTTTTAGGATGTTGTTTGCGTATGTAGCACTTTAACTCCATCAAGTGCCCGGCCTAAAGGTTCCATTATCAGCTCTCCAACCCTTAACACACAACTCTTTCAACCCATCTAAAAGAGTGTGTTCTTCTTCTGGATTCCACATCCTTCTTGTTGAAGGTGTTGAGTTGCTTGGTTGTTTTGATACCTTGTTTGAATATGTTTGACTATTCATTTTGCATGTAAAATCTTGTGAAATACATTACCAAGAAAATCAGGAAGAAGAACAAAACATTATAGTAGCTTCAGAAAGATTTCAATATATCAGAGATGCATTTTTATACTAATACACTTTACAACGATAAAAGAATGAGCAGTTAAGCTCACAAACGTCAACTGATTAAACTAGTCTTCATTATAGATTAAAACATACGACATCAAGAGATGTAGACAGTACATAAGGATGTGCAGTTAAGCTCACAAAAAATTAGAAGTGTCTAGCAGCTATACAATTTATACTAGGCTAATTCAAAAGAGCTAATGAAGTCGAAAAAGTTTTATATAGCTAACAGGCTGTATTTTATACCAATAAGCACTATACAGTGAAGTAGCACATTGCCAATGCTCTCAACTTCTATTTGAAACGGATAATTGTTTTTTGTGAAAATTGATCAATTGTTAGATCTTGCATTCCACATTGATTGAGCTAACTCATCCCTCCAAGTGGTCCACTCCGGGGACGATTCAACAACATCAATATTTTCGTGTTGATACTCTTTTTGTTCTTCCATATCAATGTCTAAGGGATCCACTTCCATCTCCCTATGGATAAAGTTGTGAATCAAGCAACAAGCACTAATGATCCTGTTATAAACCTTAACTAAGTACCACGAAGAGCTTCTAAGAATTCCCCAACGTCCTTTTAGCAGACCAAATGTCCATTCAATAACATTACGAGCCCTAGCATGTCTCATATTGAAAAGCTCTTCTTTACATCGAGGCAATGGATTGTCACCTTGCCAGTCCTTTAACCAATATCTATATCCTCGATAAGGTGAAAGAAAACCTTTTCCATTCGTATATCCTCCATCGCACAAATAATAATTACCTATAATATAGAAATACAATTTAGTTACTTTCATATCTAATTCGTTTTGTGAATTAACTTGAAAGCATAGACATGGCATACCCTCGTGGGTTTTTAAACCATTCCTTCTTGTTACAGCATCTCGTAATACACAACCGTCGGCATCTGAACCTTTCCAACCAGGTAACACATAAGTAAAATTGAGGTTTCTATCACAAACTCCCAATACATTAGTTGCTATCTCTCCCTTCCTTGTCATGTATCTTGGTTTGTACTGGGATGAAACTCTAATTTGTATATAAGTACCATCTAGTGCACATAAACAACCCTATAAGATGAATTATAGTGTTATCTCAAAATATAAAAAATCATTGTAAAACTGTAAAAATTGCATTTAGTTAGTTTTATACATAAATTAGTAGATGCCAAACTGAATTTTCACCTACCTTAAACCATTTCCATCGATCTTCAATCTCATCCTCAAGCAGTAGTTTAGGATCAACGAGTAATAATGGAGTTAGTTTGAGAATAGCACTCAAACATTCATTGAAAGCCTGACTTATGCTCCATCCCGATCTAATATAATCAACCTTGATAGATCTATTCTTCTAATGATGAGTCAACATATTTAAAAATATTGCTAACTTTTTGCTAATTGACATACTTTTACTCTCCGTCAAACCTCCAATATCCTTAGTTAAGAGAACTAAAGTGTGAAAGACATTTTTATCCATTCTTAATTTATCGATACATACACTATCATTGTCATTTATGATAGAATGTAAGTGAGAAATAATTTTCGGTACTCCAACACTCATACAGTATCTAATCTCCCGCCTGTTTTGACATCATCTTCTTAGAGAATGACCATAACTAGCCATGAAAAGGCAAATAAGGACAACAAGAAATTGCTGGCACATTATCTCCTCAAGGATAATATATTCAGTACTTGATAGTGGTTGAAGATCCATAATAACACCTAATTTTTCCATGAACAATGAAAAGAATGAATACACATAAATTTAATACTATGCTATTTGGTAAAGAAAGAACTGTACCGAACTTGTAAAATTGGGGTAGAAAGAGAAAATAATGAGAAAAGAACAAATCATTTCAAAAGGAAGCAACAGGAATAAAATTACCAGAAAATAATAACCAATTTTACAAAATACCTCAAATATTAGTTGTTGAATATAGAAACACACCCCAAATAAACAAAGAAATCAGTAGTTAGTGTCTTTACTCCATGAGTCGTTCAAAAGGAGGGGGGAGGGGGGGGGAGAACAAAATTACTAAAAATCCTTTTACCTGTACGCGTCACTTTGATCTATGAAGAGGAAAATGAAGAAGAAGAGGATTTGGCAGCATTCAACTATGCTTTTCCATGGACAAAGCGTACAGAGAAAATCTGTTTGCTAAAAATATGAGGAAAGGATTTTATTAGGGATTTGAGGGAGGCAATTAGGTCTTTAGCCATGTTTATGCAATCATTAAAAACCCTTGCATTACTAATGTCATGGTTTCCAATGCATTTCTTATACATTGCATAATACCAAGTACAATGTATAACTAATACAAGTATTAGTTATACAAAGGTTGAAAAAATATACCAAACAAGGTATTAGTAATACACAAAGCTAATGCTTGCATTATTTTTTCTAATACCTCCTACCAAACGACCCCTTCGTGTATTAACACTCACAAAATATGGTACGACATCACCATTCATGCATTAACACTCTCCCTCACCAAATAATGAACAACAATAACAGGGAGATGGAAATAACAAGAACAAGTCTTACTTCAACATTTGGTTCCATATTACCAACATCAACCATGAGTTAATACTTAATCAATACAAAAATCTGTAAACATGATAAGAATGATCAACACAATGATGAACTAGTCTAAGCATGAATAATATGATCAACGAAAGCATCAAATACAAGAATAAGACCCACTCGCAAGATATGACTTGACAACAATGCATAGGTACTCATCACCTCACCTATACGTTGTAGCGAACATTCAACCACGTAGAAAATAGGAAAATAAGACCTAATCCCTCAAGCCAAGGTCAACCACGACACTTACCTCACTCCAACAGCCAAACTCAAATCTCAACCATGGCTTTTCCTCTCAAACGAGCCTCCGAACCGATAGAATCTAGCATATTACCAACCAAACGATTCAAATTAAGCCTTAGAAACTACCCACGATCGCAAAGAATTCAATTCAGGCCATTATTGAAAAGTCAATAAAAAGTCAACAGCCAAGCCCGCTTGGTCCAAACGTAAAATTTGGACCAATACCCGATTACCCATTCACCCCCTAGCCCGTTTATATAATTGGTTTTGGAATCTGACCTCAACTTGAGGTCTAAATCCCCAATTTTCGAAATACCTAGTATCTATCAAGAATTACCAATTCCACCATGAAAACCTTAGATTTTAGGTTGATATCTTGTGAAATATAGTGAAAGATTGAAAGGAGATAGGTTAGAACCACTCCCCAATGATTTGGGGAAGAAGGATGTTTACCTTGAAAATGGTAATAACAATTATATTTGATTTGTGGTTCTAAAAATTTGTGATTTATCTTGATACTTGTTCTATGTGAAAAATGCTAAGTCTAAATGAGAAAGAAATTATAAGCAAACCCGTATGGTCGCAAGGTTGAGGTCCTCGAGCTCAACGATACAGGACCTCAACGACAGCGTTCACCAGTTGATAATGAACATTAAATGAACAAATGATGAACAAATTATGAACAGTAAATGAACACAATAAATGAGGAGCAATAAAACTATAGAATAATTGTTGATCTTATTTAGGCAGGAAAAGCAGAGAATGTTCTATTGTATTCAATATTCGTCTCTATTACAAAATAACAAGGGTCCCCTTTATATAGGAGGGGGAATCCCAACATAGTATAGGTCTAATAATAATGAGGAAATGCTATATAGTTGTATAATGGCTCAGTACGGATTTGCACTATTCTTGCAGACCTGGTCAACACTATCCACGTGTAATTGAGAGCTTTCCCGCTTTTCCTTTACAATCACCGATTTGTACTGCTTCGAGGTTCACCATAGTGATCCGTCGGTGTGCTCCTTCGAAGGACGCACCTCGGGGTCACACATAACATTATGCTTCGAGCTTCTCGATGTCAGGCATGGAGTGCCACAGTATCCCCAAAGTTGAACTTGATTTTGATCGCATACACATAGTCCCCGTGTTTCTTAGAATAGATCGATAATAAACAATCTTGAGTTCTTGCCTCCTCGATACCCCAATTGTGATGTCAGCCATGTATGATCATTAAATAATGTGACATAAAAGTTGTACAGAGGTCTGGTCAAACATGGTTCTCGAAAAGCCCACAAACCGCTATTTTCTGCCCTTTCAACTCCTCCAAGACTCTTATAAATATTCCAATTCCCTATCTTTTAAACCTTTGCAACATCTTCAAGTCTTCTAATCTTTGTTAATTGTTTCCTGTCATCATCCTTTTTCTGTGTTCACTTCTTCGTCAGCTTACTTTGAAGCTTTGTTGTAACCATGGACAAAACTTCTAAGACAGTACCTCGAAAAGAGGAAGCCCTTTATTCATCACGCTCGACTAAGAGCAAATAGATAGTGCCTCCTTGTATTGAGGAGTGTATTCCTTGGCCCTTCGATATATCCTTCGATCTCAAAATTGGAAAACCTTCTTCGGTAACGGGCCGATTCGAGCCCATGTCTCGGTACATCAGTTTAATAACCTACATAGAGAAGGTAAAAATAGATTACCGCTAGGGAGAGGCGGTACAAGTAGAGATCCCTTCATCGGAAGAGGATGTCACTAAACACAAAGCTAGTTTCCTTAGTGTATATACGTATCCTTTTACCTTAGGTCCTGTATATTCTTCCTCTCCACCGATAGACCTGATGGTCCTCGATTTTTGTTGGTAATATCGAGTGATGCTTGGTCAGATTTAACCCTCTTTTTGGAGAATCGTCTGTTTGATTAGATATTTCTCCAACATGGTCAAGGAGATGGATTTCACCCTCGACCATCTGATTGGATTGTATAGCCCTCGCCTCTATCGAGGGGGCCTAGTCAAACTACGGTGCCGATCTACCAAAGAATTTTTTTCCAGCATCGACGAAGATAAAGACCGAGGGTGGATGAGCCGCTTTGTTTGAGTCAATACGTCGGACCTCATCCCTGCCAAGAAGATGCCATTCAATGAGGAATGGAATATGAGACATAAGTGTTGTTACACCAAGCATGTTTTATCATCTGAATGTCCTCTTTTCCTCTTTTGAACTAATTCCTTTCTTTTTTGAATTGATTCTCCTCCGGTTGGATAGCCACCGTGTGGTTCCCCAACATGGTCAAGGATCTCCTGGGCTGGTTAGACTTCTAGACTCCACCTCCTCATACGACAAGTGCGTTTGGCGTGATTTGGCCAAAACTCGATGGGAGATCAAAAATCATGGTACATTCACATCATTATCACTTCTAAATATCTTATGAATATATTTTTTGTTGGTATGTTTAACATTTTACACATGTGTAGGCCTCGATGAAGCCGTTTCAATGAGACAACCTCCTTCTGGTGAAGAGGAGACCCCCAGACCCACCAAAGATAGTAAGAGAAAGAAGGAGACGTTGGGGGAGTCCCCGAAACCAAAGAGAGCTAAGGCTCTAAAGCCTAGGGATGATGCAACGGTCCTAACTCCAGAAGCTGCTAAGAGTCTTCATGCCAAAGACAAAGACTGTGATGGTTGCCTACAGGTACATAGGGCAAGACGAAGCACTGATGCTTCGAAGGTTGCCAGGTAGACGACTTCCGAGTTTGAGGGGGCCAATGCGGTCCTACCTCATACTGAGGAGACCCCGGAGGAGGGTTTAGATGCAGTCCCTATGCCAACCACTGATCAGGAGACAACTTGTGCTGATGAGCACTTGGTTGGCGCATTCGTAGGATTTAGCTCTGACGCCCTTCGAGGGCGAGAGGAGGGCCCGATAGAGATTGATGCCTTAGGCGATCTTCAACCAGGCTCATCGTTTTCCCTAGGGCAAATACGGGATGGGTGGAATAGGGAGATTCCCGATGTGGGGGCATCCCTAGGAGAGGATAATGCATTTGGGGATTTCATTGCCGGTGTTGAATAGGATGATGATCTCGATGCCCTAGTCGTTCTTGAGGAGGCTGCGAAACTCCAAAAACATATGATTTTGACATAACCTTTGTGCCTTGAGTTTTGATCTTTGTTCTCCTAACTTCTTTCCTTCGTGCTACAGGTCCCAATGTTGTACGACCAGGCCTTCTCCAGGTTAAGAGCTGAACTGACCCATAGTGAGGAGGAGTTTGAGAATCTTGCTACGGAGTCGAAAGAGCTAAAAACTCTATACGCTCGAATGGAGGAGGAACTGAACAACCTTCGAGCAAGCTCAGAGAAAGTGCTCCAAGAGCGTGCCAACTTCATCGAGCAGGTAGTTCGGTGTTCATGAGCTTGCTTTTTGTTTTCATAACTTGGTGTTTATTATCTCAACTCAGCATTTGCATATTGAGCGACAGGATGCCTTAGTAGAGCACCATCTGTG